CAAAAAAAAAAAAAAGAACCAGAAAGGGCGAAATCCCCCAGCGGGCTGCACCGCCCCAGCGAGCTGCCGACGGGCCGCGCCGCTCGGGGATGGCAAGTGCGAAATTTAGGGGAGGGGGAAAAAAAAAACCACCCCAGGAAGATGAGCGTTGAGGTGCCGGCTGAGGGGCAGCAACCAGAAAAATTCCCGTGGTAGCGGCAGAGACCCGTGCTACGGCGGCACCAAGGACAGTATGCTTAATTTGAATGTAAATATAATTTAGCCAAAACGTTGTACAAATGCTGTATTACATCCAACTAAATATCCAGGGTCATATTTTGTAACTGTATGAGCAAACAACCTTTTTCTTTAAGGAAGTCTAAACATTTTGTTATTTAGGACACATTTTACTTGTGTGGATTCTGTTGCTTGTAAATGTAAGTCTTTGAAGTGCAAGTTATAAATATGAAGGCTTAAATGCATTGGGGGAGTTGTGTATCAAATTTTAGAATAAATTTATTCCAGCCCAATTTGACACACGCATGCCTAATGTATTCAAGATGCACTTAAACAATTTAGGAAACAGTTATTTTGTTTACAATGGTAGGTGCCTATTTCGGAGTCTGGTGAATGACTTAACAATAATTATCATATTTATATAACACATTGTTGTTTATACATGGCTTTTTGCATCTAAGAGGCATTAAAGTCATATCTAATATCACTTCCTAAACTGGAGTGATTCCTGGAAGTATGAAGCAATGACTTGTTTATTTTATCTACCCCCATTCAATCTACATCTGTGCGTATATTCACAGTCTGAAACATGCAATCCTGCCCTAGAGAGTGGTTGCACGTTAACAACACAGTGTGTCTTCAGCTGACATCTGGCTCCACAACAAAAACAAACTGCTACTAAGGACCTTTTTTTTTCATTTTTCCCTCCTTAGTTCTTTTCTTCCACCTTCCTCTCATCTCTGGAAGCTCCATCCCTATTGGAATAGGCAGCAATTATTCCAATCTCTGTAAGTAGTCTTTTTTTTTTTTTTTCAACTGCTTTAATGGCATTGCCTTGCAGTCATGTACAGCTGTAGGAATATTACATTTAAAGTCCTCTAGCAGATAAGGACACCAATCCATTAAAAAGCAAATAACTTCCTAACTAAGAAAACAACTGAGTTAACTGAGCTAGACTTAATCTTGTGATCTTTATAAAGACAAAGCTCACTGAAATCAGTGAAAATTGCCTGACACTGAGCATCATAAAATTTGGTTGCAGGTACAAGTACTTCAGCCTCTCTCAAAAAAAATTTCTCCCACAACAACAAATTAGCACATAGCTGCTAAAACTGATTTACAAATTGAGCACATTGGCATCAGTCACAATTTGTATCATTTTGGCACTTACTAGCGAAACAAATATAGCTAAAAATTACTTCCAATCATTGAAATAAACAACAATTCCTGCCATTTGACTTCCTTTCACTCCTAATTTACTACTGATTTTTGTAGTGAATACATGAAAGTATTTTAGAAAGGAAATATAACATTATAGGAGCCAATTCTGCCTATGCCACTGGTCCTATTCACTTCAGACGAAAACTACATGTATGCAGAAAACCAGACTGGCATGTCTGATCTTTTAGATAAAAGAATGCGTAATGATAAAAATACACATACCAAAATTAAACTACCAGTTTAGCTCTCAGAGCAAGTGCTGCATCTCAAGAAAAAGCATGCTGAAATGTTCTAACTAGATTACTTCTTCTCTAACAAAACTTTCAAACTAAAATGCCTATCATACATAAGAATTCATATGATTACAACAGGAAGTTTAAAGAAAGAACAGGCAAATAATTCTCTCATTTACATTGCAAAATACATAAATAAACTGTAAAGTCAAACAGCTACTATCATTCATAGACTAGAAATATTATCAAGCTTAATGTTTGCCACCATGATCTACAAGCTGGGAGAAATTATTCATAGTGCCAAAACTGTTTCTGTTAACAGTAATATTTGTAGGAACTAAACCTGCTGCAGAGGGTTTAGTTAGTTGGTTTAAGAGCAGAGTTCAGTCCATAAAGGTGCTTACATTCTATAACCAAGTAAATGCAAATTGTTGTCTTTCAGATTATCTGATCATCCCTTAAACTTCTAACAAAACCATGTTAAAGTTGGGCTCAAAAGCAAGTGCAAAACTAGTAGCTGCTGAGAAAAAGTTGTTCACCCTCTGGCTACCTAATATATGACCAACTGCCATCACCCAAGTCCTAAAAAATATAACAAAACAATTTAAAAGTGATAGGGAATTGTAAAAACTTACATTAGTGTAGCTACATGTGACAGTCTACTCATTTATTAGCATACTGCCTGTAAACATGGCAAAAAATACTGGTACTGCGCTTGCTTATGTTGTTATAGGTCAACATTGTAAAAAACTGTTTAGGTTATTTCTCAGTAGAACTATTGCTTTTCTGTTATACATGAAATCGCATTTCAGCTTTGTAGCACTTCATTACACATGCAGTCTTGTATCTGTTTAGTTTGGGGAATCATGTCAGAATAACGTAGTTATTGCATGCATCCTTCACTTTCATGTTCCTTGACCCTTGAGCTAAGATCTTCCCCTTCCATTGTTCCCCCCAGAGAGACTATTTCTTCATGGCAAGAGAACTTTGTATTGCATTAACTGTACCTTAGCGGAGTTTTGCAGCAAACAAATTAGTTGCAGCAAACGTCATTCAGAGTAGTCTGAGTGTTGCCTTTGTTTCTAAATGGGGGCCTACTTGTCTTCAGAATTAAGTGTTCCTAAGACAATATTTTCCTTTTCTTTCGGTCTTAACTGAGTGCAGTGCAGCCAGGACCAATGTTCTGGCCTCCTACATACAGGTATCATGCTTAATTACTGTAATGACTGCATTATGAATTGTTAAATTTTTAAGGTGACAATAATAGATAATATTAATACGATTACAGATGATGGACGTTAGCCAAAAACACACTGTGGCTTGCGCTATGGTTTTATTGTGACGATGGAGAGAGGTTGGTGTTATCCCAGGCTGTTTCTATGTACTAGACCACTTCTTAGACCAGTTTACTTTCCCAACACTGAATTTCCTAAGCAAGTGCAAAGGTGCAGGAGCAGGATTGCAGCTCTTCTTGTACAAATTCTCTGCTATGCCTCTAGCATACTGCTTCTCGTACAGGGGAAAGAGGGAAAATGACACAGGCCAAGCCCAGACAAAGCTAATATTCAGGAAAGGAACTGTGTGACTTCACCTACACAGTACCCAAGAGGATTGACAATTTCAGTATTTAATGGAACTTTCTGACTGGAAATAAAATTTATAATTAAATCTATTTCTTTAGAAGTTTCTTTCCGAGAGAAATAATCAGATTGTCATTCAAAGTGTTTTTAGGTTTTGGTCAGAACATGATTTTTTATAAGTGAAAAGTCAGAATGATCTCTAGAAAATGTTGATGATAATGAGTGTAAATCATCGTTCATCAACAGTCATGAACCTCAGCCACTGCTTGTAATACTTTAATGAACGGTGGCCAAAATGGTCAGAGAAGTAGAAAGGTAGACAAATGGTTCTACCCAAATGCCTTCTCTTCCTTCATGCCACTGCCTCCTCCATCACTCCCTCAGGAGGTCTGAGGCTCGTCTCTGAAGAAAAGTACTTTAAGCAAACAAATACACCGATTTTTTGATCGGTTTTCCAGATGGCCAATACGTATCAGCTATTATAAGAAGATAATTATTTTAAAACTATTCCATAGCTGTATAGTTATTTATGTAACTATAAATATTAGTAAATGTTTATGATAAACATATTAAACAATATTATGTCTCAGCTGTTATGTCTAAGAGCACAAGGAATGTCCAGAGGTAGGTAAAACGTTCATTTGGATGCATGAATCAGGAAAAACAAATGCAGAAAGGATGAAAACAAATGCAGAAAGGATGTAGACAGTATTTTAAAATTCAGAGTTAAGACTCTTGTGTTATACCCTTTATAGATCTCACAAACTTGGTCTTACTAAACAGAATTATCTCACAAAATCAAGAAGGAACAGAAACATTCACACTACAGCTCTCTCCCCTTGCTGTATGAAAACAGACCTAGCCAGGCACAGGGACGTACTTGCTACCAAGAAAATTGTACAGAGAATCCTGCTCCTGCATCCCACAGGCCCTCACCTTGCCATGCTGGATGCTGTCCCTCCACAGTCAGCTCACACACCGTCTGGCTCCCAGCTGTGTTGTCACTGACTACAGCGCTGCCAGCTGTGCTCCAAGGCCCCAGGAAGACGGTGGAAGGCACAGCATGCTTTTATTCATAAACAAGGAAATTGTTCTGAACACAGTGAAAATAAAATCAGTCTCTCTACTGCTACAGGCTAGGGAGTTTGTAGCTTTTGTTCTTCATGGCAAATCTTGCAATTTCCCCAGAATGGACTCCAAACTCAGTTGGTTTAATACAGTTGTCTAGAGGCCAGTCATGCATAGTCATGTGCACAGGTGGAGCCCAATGCCTCAGCACAAAGAGATGAAATAACTGGGTGATGATGGGTCTGTGCACATCTTATGGTGGTTCTGTTAGCTGCAACAGATTTGAGACATATAGAAAGAGCTTCAAATCTATGCACGACAGCTTTGCTGTGAGCTGTGAGGCTGTTGACCTGGAGAGAGAGTACTTTATTCCAGCAAGTTTAATAGATGGATTGGTATATATGCACCAAGACTTCTGGACCCTTAGCAGTATATTTCCTCACCCTTGTGGGATGCCTTGAGAAGTGTCAGTGATGGAAACACCAACACCTGACATCCATTTCCAGTCTCTCCTTTCTCTAATTAGCAGACAGCTAGAAACTCTGTAGAGCTGAGATGCCAGGCAGTCAGGGGCACAGAAATGCTAATCACTCCCTGTTCTCCAAGTGCACAGCAAAGTTTAATCCCCAGAGTAATCTGCTCTTTACTATCCTTCACTGATTTTTTTTTTCTCAAAGTGTAGATGTTTTCTGAAGGCACCAAAGCAGAGTCTCCCATCTTCCCTTCCTTAAAGGTATCCCTTATCTCCCTACAGCCTTTGCACTTCAGGCTTTAATAACTCCAAATGTCCAAAAATCAAGGATGTTCAAATGCCTCCAGAACTACTTCCAATCCTTTGTTCTTCTCCCCTAATAAGTTGCATACTGCTCAGTATCTTTCTACCATTAATGTATTTTATGATGGCTCTAGGTCACCTCAGTTATTCAAATTAAGAATGATTTTTTCACCTTTCATTTATATTAGACTGGAACCTGCACTGGGAACATATCAATTTCTCACCAAGCCTGACGATTTCTCATCTTCTTTTATGAGAATGTAGGCTGACAACTCCAAATCATTCATTTCCACTGCAACTACTGACTTAGTGCTTTAATTTCAGGAGTTTCTGCCCACTCCTACCTCCCATCCTGATTTTTTTTTAAGTAGTGGAGAGAATAATAGATCAGAATTCATTCCTGTGCAACTAGGATACAAAAACACACAGAACAGAGTCCAGCCTTGTTCCCTATCAAATGAGTAGGAATGATGCTTTTGTTTTGGAGGGGTTCTGATCAAACTGATATAATGAGAAGTGAGACTGAGAAACCTCCCAGAGAAAAGAGGAGGGAGGTGATATGTTTTAGAGATGTTGAGCGCTATTTGCTCTTGCAGTCTGTCATTTCATTATTGTATAACGATTACACCTGAGCTAAATATCCAAGCACCTAAAAATGCAAGAGATGTCCAAATGCCTTTATGCAAAGTCATCTTGAGAGACAGACACTTCATTGATTATGAGGTATTGTAAATCCTACTTAGAGCCTCTATCTTCAGATGCTTTGAAAATTTGGCCTCAAATTCAAAGCTGGCAGAAGGAAGCAATTCAGTTGGCTTTGACAGCATTTATGCAAATAGTGTATTTAGCTCTAAGACTTTATATATATATATATATCCTGCTACAACTTCCTGAAATCCCTCAGGCCATTT